CCTTGCCAACTCCAATAAAGGCGAAACAGGTCTATAAAAACACCAATTCCAGTACTTTCCTCCATTGGGAGATTTTCGTCATCCAACTCATCAAGCTCCGTGTTTAAGTTGAATTTTAATGTCCTCTCGGCAGATACGTTTAAAGCAACACGTGCGTGTCACGGACGACTCGCGTAGCCAAAAGTGACAGGCGACTGATAATAGTTATAGTCACGCTCTGTACATATCTTATCCCTGGAGGTGTCGAAGGGGAGGATAAACGAGCGGAAGACCGTGTTTGACACATGATTTCCGACGGTGAACTCGGACATTGACTTATCCTAAGCCGGTGCTAATATTCCATCCTCTGCAACCATGGCTATCACCGAAGTAGGGAGTACCATATCGTCTGCAGCCATTCGTATCGTAACTCGGCTAGGAATCACATGGACGTTTAAAGCACTTAGCTCACTGCTAATCAAGTAACCGATCGCTGCAGTCACGAGCACAACAGCATAGCGGCTGCACCGGAACCTGTAGTCATACACCGTGAACTCAGTCGCAAACGATAGCATCCCCACTGCAATCACTGCTTCGAGTGTAATACCAATAAACTTTTCAACCGCATTTGCGATGCTACCGGAGACGGAGTTGTAATAATCGAGAAGTTCCTTGCGCTGATCTTCATTCTTTTCCTCTGTGTCGAACGATGCCAGGTCGATATCAACGAAGGCGAACACCATGACAATCCATATCATTACAAGAGTAACAGCGAGGGTCACTCCAAGCGTTCGTATAGGCCGAATTGCGACTTTCAGTGGATACGTTTGAACAGCGGCAATACTGGTGTCCTGAGGCGATCGGGGAGAACTGGGAGCGTTTGTTTACGATGTGATTCGTGACATACTGGGATTGGAGTTGGCGGAAGAAATCAAAGGCCGATTGAAGGAGTTTTTCGGGGGGGGGGGATATCATGGTTGTCTCCCGGAGGTGGTGATGGTGACGCAGGGGTAAGAATGCGTGGTTTAACGCGAAATGGGGAATGGTACGAGCTCTACACCTGCAAATGCGGAATCGTAGAAAAAAAACCGTTTGAACTAGTTTGTTCAAGATATACGTGAGGATTATCATCTCAATAACGCATGGGTGCGAATCTAGATAATACATAAGCTACATTTTACAGCCATGCGAGATTCATTGACGTTGAAGCCTCCACCTGTTGACAGCATGAGATCCGTTACTTGTAAACCTTGTAAACTGAAGTCTTTTCTCCTCGTATCGACAAAGACGGTTGTCGTCTCACATAGCATTCATGCAGCACACCATCGCATGTTAAACGAAGTGGCCATTCTGCCTACCAGTTTGAATTGATCTGGAGGAAAGTGGTCAGTGGGTGTCGTTTTTGCTTGGACCTGAAACGAGGGCATAAGAAAATCCCTTTCATCATCACATGGGTACAATCACTCCAACGGTATATGTACTTTTATACTCCGAGTATATGAATATATCCATTGTTGTAACTTGATTCTTTTTGCCACCTAGTGGTATTATTAATCTATGTTTGGTGTGAAGCGCACAGACCTTTTACCCTCACCGTCTTGTTGCATCCCTCGGCCTCGCATTTCAGTCTGCCACCATGGGTACAGCACAATCCATTGTATTGCACGCTTTTGGTGCACCCTGGATGCTTGCAACGGTAGCCACCGCCGTGCTCGACGCAATATCCTTTTAAAGATCCGGAAGAAAGCCCCCATTTCTCGCAACCTTCAACCTTGCACGTCTTCCGGCCACCATGCGCAGAGCACAATCCTTTCGTAACAATTGACTTGTTACAGCCCGCAATTTTACAGCGTGTTCCACCTCCATGCGTCCCACAGAAACCTCCAGCCTGTGCCACCTTGCTGCATCCTTCAGCTTTACACGTGCGACCTACAGTAAGTCCACGTTCCTGAGCGTGTCGGGAGCAGTAGCCTTGCCGAAGCTGGATCTTCAAGCATCCTTCCTCCTTACACTTGGGCTTCCGAGAGACTTTAATAGCTCCACTCTCCACTGCGTGTTTGTAGCAGTAGCCACGATTCGATCCAGCCTTCTCACAGCCATCTGTCTTACACTTATCGACAACAGCGTGATGAGAGCACAGCCCTTTACTGGCAGCTCTGCGCTCGCAACCCTCGGTTTTACACACAATATAGCCGCCATGAGCAGCACACAATCCTCGTCGTTGCGGTCGTGTAGTACAGTCCGGAAATGAACACGTTTTCCCTCCTCCGCCTCCATGCTCAAGACACTTTCCTCCACTTAATGCGAGTTTCTCGCAATCCGCTTTCGAGCATGTACGCCGACCGCCATGCTCCGTACACAGACTGCGCCATTTCGCAGTAGCAGTACATCCGTCCACCTTACACTCCCGTACGCCTCCATGAGCGATACATTTTCCCTTAGTCTGAGCTTGTTTTGTACATCCAGCATGTGAGCAACAAGGTCTACCGCCCTCTGTTAAACGTGGTGTAGCTTGAACGTCTTCCATTTCTTTGTCAAATTGTAGGATGGAGTGCAATTGTCCAGCCGCGAACTTCTCGCTCCATAATATCTGAACTTTTAGCTCCGCTTGTGCTTGCTTTATAGCTGACCGTGTACTTGTCATGAACGTATCAAGATCCCATTGTTTCTCGTTGTCTTCGTCGCTTTTTACTTGCAGTGGTCGCTTCTTGTTTAATGAAAGTTTTACTGACAAACTCCCTGTATCTCCGCTAGACGCTGCCAGCTGGCCACTCACGGGCACCGATGACTTGACGCCACTCCGCGGTGGCACGATAATACGCGTCTCCATGCCGTTATGGCGACTTTTACTTAGTTTTTGAGGCGGTTGCATGTCCCTAACGGTGTTTTCTGCGTCGAATTCACCCAGGAAGAACAATTTATCGCCCTCTGATGGGAAATTTTCTCCACAGTCTCCGCTATTTTCGACTCGGGTGTCTGAGGACGATCCTGGGACTTCGGTGGAGTCCACACGGTCCAGCAGTGGCTGCTGCATGTGCATCCCCTCGGAGAAGAAGGCACTGGAAGCCGCGGACACAAAGCCCAGGGGCGTCACCCGGTCCGACATGACGCGAAAGAGATGGATTTGACACTGAGCTCAGCCAATCAACGTCGCATTGTACAGCTGGACGGAATGATCAGCAGCTGTGCCGAGTTGAGGACGGGAGGACGTTGGTTGACGCTTTGGCAGTGGCATGATGGTTTAATGCTGTCCTGTTACTCGTCTGCATTCGCGTCGAGAAGTTGTGGTTTTGCGCGCTCGTTGGGATCGTTCGAGCGATCTCCAAAGGGCGTTCACGCTGATGGCATCGTCGTTGTGATGCACACAAACGTGGGGGCTGCTGAAGGGTTTACAACCTCGTTTGAGGGGCATCCAAGCAGAGGAGATCTCTCCGTAACTTAAGGATATCGAAAAGTTGAATACAAGTGTTAAATATGCAGATTTCAGATTATGCACAATTGTAGTAGCTTTTTGCGTCTTCGTCTACCGGCGCAAGCACGGAATTACTTGGACTGGGGATTCTATTCGTTTTATTCGACGCCCGTCGCCTGTGATAACGTAGGTGCGGTGGTTGTCAGCTTCCTAACGTCTAAATGATCCCTTTAGCCTTGACTTGGACGCCTTGTTCCCGACCATGTTGCCGACAGTACCCCTTCAGACCCGAGCAACTGAAGTTAGCGCAGTCGCCAATCTTGCATTTCGTACCGCCGCCATGTTGGCGGCACAGATGCTGCTTGATTGCTTTTCGAGTGCAGCCATCTACCTTGCACGAGTTATAACCACCGTGTCGGTAGCACAAGCCTTTCAGTTGGACAGTCCTTTCACAGCCTTCATGCCGGCAATACTTGGACTTTGAGGATGTTCGTTGCCGGCCTGTGCTGTCCCCATCGAAATGGCTGGTACTGGACCCGCAAACTGCGCCTGCAGTTTTTAATGCCGCGTAGTAGGTAATCACCACCTCGCTGCTCAGAAATTCCTTGTTCACAATAGACGTGCTGGGTCCAGACTGGAAAGAAATGAGGTTACCTTTGCGCTGATCGTTCTCAATCGCCAATGATCGGGTCACTGTGTCGAGAGTCTTTCTCGGTAAGGTTTCACAGTCAGAACCTTGGCCGCTCTCGATGCCAGGGTCACGGCCATTATTTACAACGCTTGAAGTGTTCGTCAAAGGTCCAACCATGTCTTCAATCTTCGGACACTTTCTCTGTCCGCGTTCCTGCAAGCATTGCACTGTGCGTTCCAGAGTTTCGATTTCCTGCTTTTGGTTTGCTAGCTTTACACGCACAGCACGTGTAGACCCGAAAGTTCTTAGGAAGAAATCCAGGTTCACCATGGTTTCTTCCACGACATCGATGTCAACATCACTGTAATGTGGAGGATTGTCTTGTTTATTGCTGCATTCTTCTTGTTCATTTTTGTCGACTTGTTGATTCAGAACTAGTTTCCGGAGACGTTTGATGTCGTTTTCTTGCTCTTGTAACTTGGTGCGCGCCGCACGTGTGGAGCCGAACTCGTCCAATAGGAAGGATAGATCCATCAGGACCTCGTCCTGCTGCGCAGGCGTCAGGTTAGCGCCGATAGTCTTGACGTCCAACATGATTGACTCTCAATGACTTTCTTCCCGCGTTTTTTTTTAGACTAGCGAAATTATACTCTTTAATTTAATAGTCTGCTTGAAATAGTGTGGGCACATTTTGTTTCATAACGTTATTCACAGCATAACAGTACGGAGCGCCACAGGACGCTTTATTCATTCAGCTCTCAAGTATTTTGGTAAACGACTGCTCTTACGTTACTGGTATGCAAGACTCCGGCGACCATCGATAATTCATCAATATATATAAAGTTTAAAAGAACTTAGGTTTTTTAAACAGTCAAGCTGAAATCAATTCGGAGAGTCACGTGCGATAATTACCGGTAAAAAAAAATGCACCTCGTCAATTACGATTTTTTCCTGAAATGCTAGACGTCAAAGGAGTGGGCTCAAATCTGACACTTGCTGAACAGGACGAGGCTATAGCGGATCTGACGTTCTTCTTCGATGAATTCGGCTCCACTGGCGCAGTTCGCGACAAGTTGGAGGAACAGGAAAGCGATATCAAGCTCCTCCACCATCAAATTAGACGTCTACTAAATCATCAAAGCGATGGGTTTGTTCGAGAAGAGGGAGAACGTGACAAAAAATCTCGTACAGATATTGCAGAAGATGTGGACGAGACGATGAAAAACTTGGATTTCTTCATCAGAACGTTTGGGAGTACGCGTCAAGTGCGTGAAAAGCTAGAACGCCAGAGAGTCAAGGTTGTGGTTTACGTCGCACAGTGCGGTGGCTAAAAGAGCGTCAACCGGCAAGAGTTAATCTCGGTGAATCTAGTGATGTGGAAGTATTGGCTGAAACGAGTAAATCAAACGTGGGAATGTTGGACGTAAGCCTGGCAGATACGCCTTGTGGAGAGATTGATAGAAACGATGCGAACGATACTGGAACAGTCGGACAACTGCAAGAAAGCAAAGTGCAGCATGTTGATTGTGGCCTTAAAGGAGATTTGGAAAGATCCCAATCGATTTTGGCAACTGGTGTTAGGTCGCCCACCGCAAGCAGAAAGGAGAAGTCCTGCTGTCGCGTCTTGGGTTGCAGCACGCGAGCCACTGTCCGTGGACTGTGCTACGCCCACGGTGGATATTATATCTGCAAGACTGAAGGGTGTACCAAAAGAGCAATCTCGCGGCACCTGTGCCGTTTTCATGGAGGCGGAACGAAGTGCAAGTCTGACGGCTGTGAGAAGCTTGGCTTGCCTACGGGTAAAGGATTCTGCTACAAACATGCTCGAGAGAATGGCATTCAAGTGAAACCCAATTGCAAGATTGAAGGCTGCACCAACCTGCGCCAAAAGTTTGGTCGTTGCAAAAGGCATCGCGATGTCCCGATTGAATCGGGAACAGACAAAAATGACAAATGATCCTCAGAAGCAACATGAAGAACGTCGTGATCGTGTGGATGACGAGACGCTTAGTGATGACTCTCGACATTCTGTTACACAAGAAGCTGATAAGCAAAAGAGTGAGAAGAAAAAGGCTCTGCGGTGGAAAACCGCAAACACCAGAAGCGCCGTGTGTGTGAAGAGCAGGATGTGAGGGCGTGGCAATGAAAGCTGGGCGAAAGAAAGGCTACTGTTTTCTTCTCGGCGGTGGGCTTACGTGCAGTCAACCTGGTTGCACTAAGCAACAGCGACTGCGTGGGCTGTGTACTAGGCATGGAGGGTTCTACGAGTGCAAGGTGGCAGGCTGCACGAAGCATGTGTATAAGCAAGGACGTTGTTGGCAACACTATCGAGAGTGCGCTGTAGATTCCGAGACATTAGGCGAATGAATTGGCCACTGAGAGAGGTTTTCTCCAAATTGCAAATAAACATACAAGAAGGTCTCTGAAACCGAGGTTCAGCACTGAAGTAAACAGCGAGCTGACGTGAGTACTGTCAGTAAACTGTTAGCATTACAAAGAAGATAAATGCAGTACTAGCATAGAGATATCGATGGCGAATTGCCGTTGTAGCGTAGTGAAAACATGCTATTTTGTCTTAAGAAACAGACCATGAGGTCACAGCTCGAAAAGCTCTCAAAGCCACCTCAAACACAGCTCTTCGGCTACTTTATGAGATGAGAGTCGTATTCTACAAGCAGCTTCTAATAAGCCGCTATTGCCGAATAGTATTATATAGTACTTTTGAGAAATAAAGGTGGGTGAAGCCAAGTTAGCATTTTTTGGTGCTGTACATTCAAATACATTTTTACAGTTGTTGTAGTGTTAATCGTTAGAACCTGAGCTGAGGGCCTCCCCAAGAGAGATACTAAAGTAAGAAAAATCTGCGCAACACGCTGCAACAGCAAGAAAGCGATATAACGCGTCTCAGAGGGCAAGTCCTGCGTTTGTTGAATGGAGAAAGGAAAAGAACAGAAGAAGAAATGTCCCGACACAACGAAAATAATACCACAAGCTGCAAATGCTATGCTACGGAAGGGGTGGACGAAACGATGGCAAATTTGGATTTTTTCTCTTTAAACAAACAGGACCACGCTCGCAGTTCGCAACAAGGTAAAAAAAAATCAGGACGAGACAATTAGCAACTTGAACCGCACAATTCAGTGGTTTAAAGCTCGACAAAAGACGAGTAGTGATTATAGTGATGTGCAGTATCGATGTGCCAAGCCTGTGGCGCCAGCGGAATTGCGTGGTTTGTGTGAGGAGAGTGAATATAGCGGGAGAAATTGGAGAGCGAGGGCATCAATCCACACAAGACAATGAGATTATTAGTGAGAGCATTGTCAGTGAGATGATGTCGACGACCAGGTGCTTGAAAATACTAACGGAGAATCTGCCATTGAGAAAACATCAAGGGAGGGATGCAAAAAGAAATATTTAGTGGATCACGAAAGGGTTGAGGTACTGGTGGTTATCAGTACAATTACACTGAAGACGATCGCTTCTGTGTGGGCAACTGCTCCACGACTGGTTGCGTAAAGCTCTCAGATAGTTAGTAGTGGTAATGGTCACTATGCGAGGCATGCTCAAGAACGAGGCTAGACGAAATGAAAAAAAAAGTTTACAGGTTGTCGAAAGTATCAAGTTGTCCGAGGTTACTGCTGGCATCATCAATGCTAGGACGGAGTCATGACAAGGGCGGCTATTTAGCGAAGGGGTCCTCGTGTTGTGTGTAGAGCAGAGTTGTTTGAAGTGGGTGAAGTGAAATGGAAATCACAATGCGTATTGTGACAAACACAGAGATACTTCTAGACCACTTGACTCCACTGTCGATTCCGTTATCCCAAAAGCTTCTGGTACAAGCGGCCGTATGTGCAATGAGCCAAGATGTGAGAACATGGGGATAGCAGGAGTAGTTAAGATTGGGTTCTGCTTCCGGAACGGGGGTTGTGTATCATTGAAGGCTGCACCAAGGCATGTCAACGCAATCGCTTATGCTCCCCCACGGAGGTCTCTCGAAGTGCAAAGCGGTGGGCTGCATGAAACGCATTATACGGTGCGGCGGCTACTGTTTAAGACACTCGCATGAGCGTAGTACTTCGTAATAAATTTAAGTGACATAGTAGTAAAAACTTACAGACCGTATTTTATTCTTTCCGTAAAGAAAAAAAAGCTATCACTTCTGCAGCTTCAAATACTCATGGAGACGACGGCGATCGCCCTATTCATCCACGCATAATACGATATCAGTATCAACACCCTCGTCACACTACAACATTCCAACTTACCGTTCTCCTTCTCTTTACTCTCGACATCCTCCATCTCCTCATCTTCGTCCTGCTGCTCCTCCTCCATCACAGCATCTTCCTCCAGTGTCGCTTTCAGGTTCTGGATCGTATTCATCAGCAGCGCGAACTGCTTGGTACGTAGATCCAACTTCCCATCCACCGCCTCAATAGCCGTCGAGGCTTCCTCCAGTCTCTTCTTCTGACCTTCAATCTCGGTCTCAATCTCCTTCCTGGACGGCAATTCGTTGATGACTCGGGCGATAGACTCGTATTCCTCTTTATACGCGCGCACTGTCTTCTCTACGTGCACTTTGACCTTCAGCTCCTCGATCTCCTTCGTGACTTTGGCGATACTAGTGTCGATTTCCGAATTGAGCGTCTCATACTCCTCCAACTCACGATCGCACGTATAATTCCAGATCTCCGTCTTGTTGGCCTCGAATTGCAGTTGCTCCATCTCCCAGAACAAACCGTCCAGCTCCTGTTTGCACGTGGCATCATCCACCGACTCGTCCGTCAGCAACTCCACCAAACTGAGCATCGTCTCGGCGCATTTCTTGAGCCCCGTCTTGCCCACGGTGCTCGTACGCGTCAGCAGTCGACGTCGGATTATTGTATCTGCGTGAACATGAGGAGATTAGCGATAGAGATACATAGAGGTGGTAGTGAGAGCGTCCCTACCGTCGTCCGCCATTGCTACTGTAAATCGATTATGAGGTTTCTGTACGGATAACTTGTATATCCGGATGTATAATGTGTATAATTTTATATTTTTAAAAGTACATACTTCACGTATAAAACTAAAAAGTACAAATAAAAAGCAGATCGCGACTTTAAAAAAGAACGAGAATGATGCCACAGTTAAGACAAATGTGCACGATCTGACTACCAAAGACGGCATCCTAGGCACAGCAATTGCCAGAGTGACCAGCACACTAAAAAAACGAAGTGTAAATATAAAAACAAATGTTGAACTTGAGGCAAAGTTGAAGTGTTTCGACTAATTTGAGCGCAAACCACATTTTGAATCAAGTCCTCAAGTCAAGGCATTGCTGCTGCTTCCATGTGGTTCGGCGTGGCACCGCCCAGCCCCGCACATTTGACTCGAAAAGAAGCACATCTTCACCGTCTAGAGCGAGACAAGGAGCTCGAGAATGAGAGGCATCATGTGCAGCAGTCTCCACGGCGAGGACACCAAGCGCACAATTCGTTAACTTCAGGGTCATTGAGTTCAAGACAACGAGAAGTTCACGATAAGAAGACCATGGTGACTCCACGAAGGCAAACGAAGAGATTTCGAGAAGGCACACGAGGAGTAGATAGAAGTCGAGACAATTCGGACAAGCAGCAGGCAAAAACACGAGATCATGACTTGCAACCAGAACACGGAGATGCTCATATTATTGGAAAGGCAAGCGGAGAAGAGCTGCTTCAGTTGATGGAAGGATGCCAAATTGGGCCAGCGATCGCAAATGGAGACGGTGTTCAGCGGCAACAAGGCCAGGTTCGGGGCTCGAGTAGGGAGATCGAAGCCCGGTTTCCTGGAACATTGGCAAGAGAACTGAAATCGCCCCAGGTTCTGGAAAACCAAACTGACATCCCACCGCTGACTTCGCGGACGCGTCGATCTTCAATCCATAGAGCTACGCAGTCACCACGGATAGACACCGACAGGTTCGTGGAAGGCAATAATTCCAGTCGAGAATGGTCAACAGCACCCGCTCCGTTTGCATCGTTGCGTCCGGAGCATCTGGTGGGGCACGTTGCAAGTGTTTGCGCTCTTGTAGTGCACGATGATCGCTTTATTGTATCGTGTTCCGTGGATGGCTCAGTCAAAGTATGGTCACAGGTTACATATGAATGTCTTCATACGATCTATGGCCACCATGACGTAGTATCCTGTCTTGATATGAACGCGCGTTGGCTGGTCTCCGGGTCACACGACAACACCTTGCGACTATATGACTGTACAACCAGTTCTTTCAACCTTTTACACATTCTTACGGGGCATTATGGTCATGTAACGCAAGTGCGATTGCCATCTTCACTGCCAAGTATTATACTAAGCTGCTCCGACGATAACACATTGCGACTGTGGAATGCTGAGCTTGGTCAGTTACTGTACGATTTAAGGGCACACCACTCCAGAGTCACGTGTTTCGATGCCCAACCCGACCATATCTGCTCTGGTGCAGCAGATGGATCCGTTTGCTTTTGGGATATTAGTTCCCTCGGCTTTAATCCAGAGCATTGCTCAGATCTACCGTGTATCAGGATCTACTACGTTCACAAGACCACTGTCCAATGCATTGTCGACATGAGCAACAGTAAAACTACCACAGAATTGGGCTCTGTAGTCGTCACTGGATCAAATGACGGCTCCATTCAGCTCTTTAATACAACGAATTTTGCACACCTTGGGCGTCTCGACAATGTTGGCTCGCCAATATACGCGACAGTGTCGCTCTCTAACGGTCGACTGCTGTGCTCAACGAAGGATGGACGGCTGCTTCTATATGATAATTTGATTCGTCCCAGAGCCAGGAAAGCACCAGCCGTCCTGCAGTTAGCTACAAAGTGGATTTCGTCTCTTCAAGTATGTGGTGATCTGGTGGCTTGCAGCTCCGAAGAAGTTTTGTATATTGTGGACATTTCTCGGATGTGCATAGCACTGGTCTTCGAAACGCAGCATAGTTTCATCACATGTACACGTTGGATCCACAAGCACGCACTGATCACCGCTGGACAAGACAATGTCATCAAGCTATGGCACATCACCTGACGAGTGTGCTAGCTGAGTCTGGACGTTCGCTAGGTGTAACTTGGAAAGAGTTTCATGGCGATGAAGTGCCTCCACACTCGGGAATTTCCGCCGACAGAGCATACAGCAAATCAAAGTTGCTGGAACATCGCTCGAAGTTGAGTTTGCAGTAGTCTCATTTGCTAGATTTGAAACGGACTCTACTTGCATCCTTTTTGAAGTTGGCTTGCTCCATGCTGCCCAGTTACTCGCCTTCGCGTCCAGATTCGAATCCAGAATAGTTTGCTGTTCTTCTGTTGACGTGGAAGCAATATCAGCAACTTGTGATGTCCGCTTCGATATCGACTCGTAAACTCTTTCAAACCCTTTCACATGGAATTGCTGTCGTGCCAACTCCTCCTCTTCTCGTTGGAACTCCTGCCAAATCTCTTCAGGTGTTCGTCGACGCTTAGGCAAACTCGGACCTTCGTCAGCTTTTGGCTCGGACTGTGCTTTCCTCTTCCGCTTGTACTTTTGCTTCGCTGAGTTCGGTCCAGGTTTTGGTTTACTGTTGTGAACTTGCAATTGTTGTAAATAGTTGCGCTGCGATATTTCATCGACCAAGCACTCGTAAGCTTCACTCAACCGCTTGAACGCTGCTTCGGCGTCTACAAGTTAACAAAACAAAGGAATCAGTATCACGATACGTTAAACAATGCATTGATATTATATTTACCAGTAGCTCGATTCTTGTCTGGATGGACGCGGACCGCGAGCTCCTTGTAGCGTCTGCGCACTTCCTGGGCATCCGTGAACGATGGCACATGGCTGGATTCACCTAGTTTGAGCACCGCATAGTGCGTGCTGCAGTTCAAAATGCGCGATACCTCCACTGAAGACATCGGCGCTGGATACCAGTAGTAGCAGCAGCACCAAGAACGCGAGGAAAAGATGCATGGCGACAAAAGCTTCGTGAATGTTTTTGTCCAATCATTTCAATAAGTTCAATTCATTGTGACCCTACTGCGCTCATAACTTTGCCATAGCTTTTCTTCAGTAACAGCTTCACTGGTACAGGTCGTTGCCGCCCTGTGCGGATCGATTTCATGGTAG